TTAAATGAGTTCAGTTGTGTCCACAGTGGGTTTGCTTGTTATTTTCACTGTTAGTCTTTTGAAATGTTACTGTATTTGGCAACTATGTTTTCCAAGTTGACAAAATCACATCATTTTTTTTATTTGTTTAGAATTTTTCTCATTTTTATTTTAGTAAATTGCGATTTTAAAAAAATAAAAAAAAAAATAAAAAAAAAAATTCAGCTTTAGTCTTTAGTTTACTTTCAGTTAACTATGATAATGTTTACCAGCCTGTGTAGTTAGCGTGTTGGAAAACCACTCCTGCTGTTTTTATAAGTATGAATGGAAAAAAATGTTTCATCACACCTGAAACATCCTTTAACTTCAACCATACTGACCTGATGTTTCTCTAAAGGATGCTGATCGGTCAACACTAATTGGTTCAGCTACAAGTGAACAATTTGAAGCAGAACCACAAGCTGATTTTTATAAAAGGGCAAAAAAAAACTTAGCGGTTTACAGAAAAGATGAGTAAAATATTTAAAACTCCGTGTTTGTAGATGTCAGTTCAGATGGCGCAGATATAATTTTTAAGAAGCATTTCAGGATCTTAATTCATTCTTTTGTCATGCAGTTGTTTAAGTGCTCTGCAGATTTCTCATGCACTTAATTCTGCTGTGTTCTGTTTTTCCACAGTTTGGGCAGCACATGTTGAAAGCAACTGGAAAAAGAAAGTTGGTCTGAACAGACAATGTAAGCCTAAGGTCCAGATGTTCTGTAGATGCATTGAAATTCCTTTTTATCTAATCTGTTTCTTTGGAAGGACAAGGGATTTTTGCCGGAATACGACCTCAAGTCTCACCAGTCATCCTGACTGATTTTGCACTTTTCTAACTTATATTAACCTCTTTCTTTTAAAGACGTTTTATTGTAATTTGTTGTCGTTGAACTGAAGGTCTTAATTTTTGTGTTCAGTCTGTCTCAAGTGAAAGTTGATTTTATTATTGAAACTTTGGGTTTTGTTAAACCTGCGCCTCAGCAGGGCTGATCAGCTTCCTATTTTTTAAGGCTGCATAAAAGCTGAAGAGTTCATAGGAAAGGAAGATTTTCTGACTTGTGCACTTTGTTGCCTGACGTTTAGACTACTTTATGATTAGGATCTGTTTATATTTTGGTTTAAGTGAATAATTTAGTTTTTAACACTTAATTATGGCTTAGATTCGTCTCAGTGTAAATTAATGTGTTATCAGTCAGGTTTCAGTGACGCTGGATAATATTTCATCTTCTTCCCAAGTTGCCAGTTTTGCCTTTAGCTGGTTCACAATTATGCATATGTTTTTCTGTGTGATTCGCCTTTAAGAACCAAAGATATTTCACTGAAGCCCTTCGGGATTTCGCCTTTCAATACCAAATTTTGCATTTCATGTCCCTTTTTTTTGTCTTTTTGAAATTAACTGCTGCTGGGTACTTAAAGGTACTGGGACACATGCAGCGTTTTGTTTCTACCTCTGCTAGGAAACACTCTCCTAGATTCAAAGTTCAGCAACAACACTAAAGAAACACTACGCTGTCACAATACTGCGAAGCTCTGTATTGACAGCATGTTTTAACAAACGTACCCAAAGTCATTAGTATTGCATAAATCCTGCTTTCGTGTAGAGGTTCATCACATTTCCAAGTCTGGATTGGATTCAGAGGCATTCGAGTTTTTTAGGAAATGTTTTGTTTAATTAAGGAATGCACATTGTTACTATTTGTGACTATTATGTATGCCATGTAATTGCTGCTGAACATCAGCTGGATTGTCTTTCATGGGGAAAGTGGAGTGGATACGTCAGTAGTAATTGTTTTTGTTGAAGTTGTCTTACATAAAAGTTAATTTATCAAACTAATAAATAAAATGTCTATCCTGACCTGTTTTGTTGTCATTTTTGCAGAAGTTGTGAGTTGAAGAAATTATGATGTTTTGGTCATTTTGAGAGGTTTTTATCTGAAAATCCATCATTGTGTGATTTCAGATTAAATAATAGACTTAAAAAACAGTCAACCTGGAAACTGAACATTTTATAAACCTATTATTGTTCAGCTGCTTAACAAATATCTAATCAGCTGTTCACATGGAAGAAACCACAAAATCCCATTTACTTCCTCTAAAACTTGCATCTCTGCATGCAGTGTACCCTTAAACAGCCTGCTCTTCTATAAATTTCAGCTTCCATTCAAACTGTTTTTGATGTAACCCTTAGGTAATTTTTACATGCATTTTACATATTTAACTGATATTGCGCACTCACTAACCGCTTCAGTAGAAAAACCTGTTCAACTTCTTGCTAATGCAAATCTACAGAAAAGCTAAACACCTGCCAGAAATTTAGTGCACTCGTAGAGATAGGCGAGATGACCTGCTGAAGTTCAGAATGAGGAAGAAAGATAAATTATTTGTAATATGGCACGACTGAAACTGCTGATCCACTGGGATTTTCTCACAAAGCCATCTCTAGGGTTTAGAATGACTGGTTAGAAAATAAGGAAATATCTATCAGCAGTTGTCAGAGGAGAATGTGCAGACTGCTGCAAGCTGATACGAAGGCAACAGTAACTCAAGTAGCCACTCGGCACAACCAAGGTATGCAGAAAAGTGTCTCTGAATATTCGACTTGTTGACCCTTGAAGCACATGGGCTACAGCGGCAGAAGACCACACCGGGTTTCACTCCTGTCAGAACAGGAAACTAAGGATAAATTTGTGTAAAAACAATTGGTCAGTAGAAGATTGGGAAAATGTTGCCTGGTCTTTGTGATGCATTCAGGGGTCAGAACTGGGTTTAAACAACATGAAAGCGTGGATCCACCATGCCTTGTATCAAAGGTCCAGGCTGCTGCTAGTGATGTAATGATGTGGGGGATAATTTCTTGGTACACCTTCTGAGCATTGTTTAAACAGCACATCCTACCCAAGTATCATTGCTGACCACGTCCCTCTACGACCACAGTGTACCCATCGTCTTGTGTTGGCTTCCAGCAGGATAACACACCATGTACAAAGCTCATATCATAAACTGCCTTCTTGAACATGACAATGAGTTTACTGTCCTCGAATCGCTCCCATAGTCACTAGATCTCAATGCAACAGAGCAGCTTTGGGATAGTGAAGCAGCAGATTCACAGCTACAGTGTGACGACATGAGGTCAACGTGGACCAAAATGTCTGAGGAATCTTTCCAGTACCTTGTTGAATATATGCTATGAAGAATATGAAGGCAAAAAGGGGTCGTAACCCAGTAGCAGCAAGTTGTACCTCTAAAAAGAGCTCGAGTGGGCCTACTGGTTTCACAGTTTGCCAGTATCGACGTGATTATTAACTGGTGTAAAACTCAAGCATTTGTCAACAACGGGTTTTATTATTCAAATTGTAACTGCAACAGGCATGTATCAAAAAGGTCAATACAGCAAAGCCTTTACAAAATCTGGCTTGACACTGAAGTCTTCCCAAAAAATGGCTGTCGCAACAAATTGTAAACAGTTTTTGTCAACAGTCTTACAGCACTTAACAGCAAAATACAAATCAGCTAAAGTAAGAAAAAAAGCACCTGTTATCTTTCAAAATGTATAAACACAAACACAACTTGTGGCACTATACAGAATCAAAGTAGACAAACCAAACACGAAGAAATGGAATGTTCAAATTCACTCGACAATTTTGTTTCCGTACAAAAGAAGAAGAAAAGAAAAGATAGCTGGAGTTGTTCCTCGCAACAAAAAGGCAAAGGGATCGGACAGTGCATCAAAAGACAAGCACGCCATGCAGTTGATGGGAACAGGAGTTGGTTTGGTCACTTAGCATAGTTTGTGCATAGTTGTAAGGCATCAGTCGAGCAGTCCTTTAGGTTTCATGTGGCTGTGAGACATTCTGAGGAGAGGGAGACTCCTTAGTTAGATCCTAACCACCCATTAATAATAATAATAAAAACTTGCATTATCCTCCTCCCCTTTTACAAAAAAGAAATAAATTTTTAAAACAAAAAAACAAACCAAAAAAACGTCTGCAAACCCTGAGCAAGTCGAGTTGCGTGGAGTTGACTTCCAGGTGAGATGCATGTGCGGTGACTAACCACCCTCCAGTCTGGCAGGGAAGGTTCCCACCCACCCTCACCCCACTGCCCCAAGTTTAACCAGGACTTGATGATGTGGAAACATCAGAAAGAGACTATTTCCTATAATACCTTCACAGGATGTCTTGGAAACAAAGCTGCTCATCGAACGCCGCTGTTATTCGGGAGTGCAGGAACACATGGTAGAACAGGTGGAGTCATTTATGGCATCTGGTGTGTCTGAATAAGGTTCTGCTCATGGCTTTGACAGGGGGTGGGGGTAACAGTTCAAAATGAGTGGTTTCTTCACATCTGTGCTTCGAAGGCAAATGTGGGGCCGACGTGATTCGTTTCAGTTCGACGGAAAGATACAAAACAAACAAGACGCGTAAACAGTCTTCGTAGAGGCAGCAAAAGGACTGGGCTTGTCACATTTTTTTTTCTGTTGTTTTTTTTTTTTTTTTACATGAGGAAGAATCTTCAATACCAATGCAACAACGGCATTACTCCAAAGTCTTAGAAAGGTCTGAACACTCCAGTTGTCTCAGTCAATACAGTTCAGA